GAGAGGTCCCTAACAGCAGACTTTCCCATGGCAATGCGCCTTTTAATTTCCTGATTAGTGATGACAAGAGTGTTGACTATGGAGCCGAGCAAACTAAAGCTGTGAACAATCTCAATCTCTGTTAGTAGAGGTAAATTAAAGGCTACATAAATGAAAACTTATCTTCAAACTTCTAAGCAAAACCAGGCTGAGAAGAATTCCAAGCACGCATGTTCTTCCAGAGGTTTTCCTAAGGAGTGTGGGGTGGGGCCCAGCCCTCCGCCTCCCAGCCCTCCGCCTCCCTCCCCCACACCTGGCCAAAACAAACACCTGAATCTTGCCATTATCAAAGCCGGTCAAACAGAGGCTGCCTCCCCAATCCCATGATGTGGCCTACTTTCCACCTGATTCTGGGTGACCTTCAGGCAGGGGTGTTGCTGGGAAAGGGAAGGACAGGAAGAAAAGGGCAGAGACTGGGCAGTGGGGCAAGCATCTGGCTGTGAGTCCCAGCTCTCTGCTCCTGCTGTCTCTGCAAAGAGAAGAGGGGGACACCACTGGTCGAGTAACCCCATCAGGTCAGTGCTGGTCTGCAGCCAGTGGGCGGCTCTGTGGGTGGCAAGACACCGAGAACCACAGCACCCCAGCTCTGCCGGGCTCTGCTTTGGCAGCAAGCATGGCACCCCTCTTTTTTTGACTGTCACTTCCCATAGCGTGGGAGGAGGGATAGAGAGTCCCTGGAAGAATGTTGTCCTTTTGCGGACTCCCTGCTCCAGAATGACCTGGGATGTCTATCCTAAACATAGGTTTCTGGGTTGTGCTCCAGAATCCCTTCACAGAGGACTGTGATGGTGGAACTCAGAAAGAACAATGTAATAATGATAATCCTCTCAACCGTTGTCCCATAGTTTGAGAAGGCCCAGTCGTTCGCTCTGCTAATGGCCTTTGCTGGCTTTTGTGGTTGGCCAGGCGGGGCTTCTGTGAGCACTGGAATGGGCGGTGCTAGCATGTCTCCAGATGGCCCCGTGGCTGCCCCTTTGTTTCCCACTATCTCAGAAGCTCATCCCCCCAAGCTTTTGTATTCTCTGGGTAGCGCTCTGCTTCACACATGGGGAAACTGAGGCCTGAGGTCCCAGTGGACTCGGGCCAGGGTCCAGGACCTGGGGGTGGGCACAGCAGAGGAGTGAGGGGCCTGTTCTCTGTGTTTCAGCTGTGCAGGTGGATGGCGTGGCAGGTGAGCATGCTGGAGCTGGAGGACCGCCTCCAGTGCCCCATCTGCCTGGAGCTCTTCAAGGAGCCACTCATGCTGCAGTGTGGCCACTCCTACTGCAAAGGCTGCTTGCTGTCTCTGTCCTGCCACCTGGACGCTGAGCTGCGTTGCCCTGTGTGCCGGCAAGCGGTGGACAGCAGCAGCTCCCCGCCCAACGTGTCCCTCGCCCGAGTGATCGAAGCCCTGCAGCTTCCCAGCAACACGGAGACCCAGGTGTGCACGCACCACCGCAACCCACTCAGCCTTTTCTGCGAGAAGGACCAGGAGCTCATCTGCGGCCTCTGTGGCCTGCTGGGCGCCCACCAGCAGCACCGCGTCACGCCTGTCTCCACTGTCCACAGCCGCATGAAGGTGGGAAGGGAGGCTGTGGAGGGGCACAGAGGAGTCGGGCTGGGTCTGCAGACCCTGGAAGCCTGGCCAGGGCTCTCTGGCCCCATCACCTGCTACAAAAAGAGGTTCACACGTGAGATTTGATTTCCCTGTAGCTCTGCGCTGGGGCAGCGGACAGTCGTTCACTCACCCATCTACTTACCACATATTGAGTCTCTGCTAAGAATAGGTTTTGGGCACTGCAGTAATTAAGTGATGGGGTTAAGTGATGGTGGAAACCCCTTTATCACTTGTCCGCTTCTCCTCTGCTTGATCTTTCTTTGCTGCCCTCTTTGTATCTGGAATGTTCCCCTGGCTACCTCTCAGGGACTTTGGTTCCCTGCTGAATTCCAGAGTCAGTACTCGCAATGCTTTTATTCACTCAATGAATTCCTGCCTTTATGGTCTAACAGAGACGAACAGTAACAACCAAACCAGACTCACCCCTCGGAGTTGATTCTAACTCCTGGCGACCGTACAAGGCACAGCAGAATGCCCAGTAAGCTTCGTAAAGCTCAGCATCTGTACAGGAGGGGACTGCCGCATCTTTCCACAAAGGGCTGGTGGGTTCGAACTGACAGCCTTTCACTTATCAGCTAAGGTCTTTAACCACTGCATTGCCAGGCATCCTTCAATAACAAGAAGAAGAATTCCACTTTAGGTTAATTAATTCATTTAGGGTTTACAAAACAGTTTCCTCTGTAGAACTTACTCCTCGGCCGGTTCTGTGAGGCAGATAGGGTTGGGTTTGTACTGGATTTTACAATAACGACGTTTTCCCTCCACTGCCATCTGTTTAGGAAAGGACAGGAAGGGTCCTCGGAAGTGAAGCCTGTGACAGGAGCTTGCAGACTTGGCACGGGCGATTGTGAGGAGTGAAATTGAAGAGTGAAGACATGCAGGGGCCGGGGCGGGAAAGGGGGGGAGCCCTGCAAGCTAGTTTCCTGGGCTAAGTTCTCTGGGCAGCTTTGCTTTGCTCCTCAACTTAGGAGACAAGTTGGAGACATGCACAGGGCTGGCCAGCTCATCCGCTGGCCCCTTCCTTCCACAAGACTTCACTGAGATCTCCCATTGCTAGGTGCTGTGCTTGTGCCTTTGGTGCAGTGACCAGCAGGACACTCCCTGCTCTGGGGGAGCTCAGTGCAGAGATTTGGGAGAGAGATCTGTGTGTCCACCAAGGCTGCTGTCAAGGTTAACTACAGGGAAACAGCAGTGAGATCAGTATGGATCCAGCATGGCCTCAGGTAGTCAGGGAAGGCTTCCTGGAGGAAGTGTGCCTCTAAGAGAAACCTGAATGGCCAGCAGGGGTTAATAGGAAAAGAAGACAAAGAAAAGCATTCCTAGTTTAAAGACAGCATGTGCAGAAAACCAGGAGGCAGAGAGTGTGGCCTGCTTGAGGAGAGAGGAACCATCCCACAAAGCTTGAGGCGGAGAGGGGGAGGGAAGCAGGGTCCATCAGGGGAACCTTGTGTACCGCCGGAAGAGACTGGGGTTGATTTGGAGAGCTGTGGGGAGAAGGCTCTGGAAGGTTTTTAAGCAGAGAGGTGAAGTGATTAGATCCTCCTGGCCAGAGGGTGGACTAATGAATGAGGTTGAAGGACCAAGCCAAGCACTGAGGCCATCAGTATATAAGTGGGAAGGGAAGGAGAGCGAGGGCTGGCTCAGGAAAACAATGACAGCTGCCACTGAGTTGATTCCAATTTATGACAACCCCACGGGTGTCAGAATACAACTAGGCTCCATAGGTTTTCAATGGCCGGTGCTTCAGAGGCGCATCTCCATACCTTTCATAAAAAGTGTCTGTGAGGGGACTCAAACCTCCAACCTTTCACTTACCAGCTGGGTATGTGAGCTGGTAACACTCCAGGAGACAGTCAGGTCTCTCTCCCCCTATTGTTGTTGGGTTGGTTCTGGCTCATAGTGATGGGCTGGAGATTGTCCCTCTTTGCCCCCTGGCGTGACTGGTGGGTGGAGCCCGCAGAGAAGCACGCTGTGGGCTGGCAGCATCTCTGCGGATGAGCCCGGCCCCTGCGTGGGGCACTGTCTGATTCCAGTATTCTGTGATGTAACTGCATTACATTTCTTTATGGAATTCCTTTTGTGCACTTAGGTTTCGTGTTTTGGGTGGTTGTGGGGGGTTTTCTGTCATTTCGCTTCCTCTTGAGGTGACAAAGTTAAAATACCTCTCAACTTCAGAAAAGGGAGCTCTGGTGGCCTAGTGGTAAAGAGTTGTGCTGCAAACCTGAAGGCAAAGGCAGGTGGTTCGAATTCACTAACTGATCCAAGGGAGAAAGACAGTCTCCTCCTGTGTGATTTATAGACTTGGAAAACCATGAGTCAGTTCTGACTTGACAGCACGTAACAACCGACACCTCAGGATGGTCACACCTGGACTGTCTTTCTCTGGCCACTGTGAGATGTGCTGAGTGTGTCTTGACCGCTACGGCATGTTCATTTATCCCCATGCCTGATTCAGCAGCTCCCTTCCCAAAAGCCCCTGTGGCTGACCTCTCAGGTTGGGAATCATCTCACTTACGTCTGTATGTTCCCTGAGCACAAACGGAAGAGGCTTTGGTCACAGGATGGAGCAGGTCTGCAGGTGATTCTCGTTGAGACTCCAAAGGCTAGGTCAGATTTGGGACCAAGACAGCTCAGGAGAAGTAAGTTCATGTCAGCCTGGTGAGAGTGCCAATTCTATGTGGGGTCCAAGTCTGCTGGAGACGAAGTCAGGTCGTGCATAAGCAGGGGGAACCACCAGGATTCTCGCCTGTACCACAGCATGCACCATCTGTCTTAGAAAGCCTCACTTGGGGCTAGCCTTTTTGTAAGGAGGCCTGATCAAGTGCCTATTAAGTTTGGACTTCTGGAAGCCTGAGCTGGCTGGGGAATTACCTGATGAGTATCCTTCTGGCAGAATTCCATGTAGGAAGTATTCACTTCAGACTGGAATCACCAGTCCTGGATGCTGTGTGATGGCTTCTAGGCAGCTGCAGCAACATTTAGCCTCCATGTCCACAGAAGGATGGCACAGAGATTCTCTCTTAGCTTGGCCATTTCTATTTTGTAGTGATGGGCACCTAGGCAGCTCTGTCCCTGCCCTGGCTCCACTGTTGGGTTGTTGTTTACCGTCGAGTCGGAACCGCCCCATGGCTGACCCTCCAGCAGGTTTTCAGAGGCATTTAATTGCACGGGAAGAGATTGCCCATCTTACTCCTGGTGGCAGCTGGTGGCCTCAAACTGCATGCCTTCTGCCTTCGGGATTGCAACGCAGCTTCTTGCTACTAGGCCACCAGAGCTCTCTAGGCTCCACTCAGAAGTGCCTGGGGCCCCTGGAATTCTCTGAAGAAGGGCAAGGCCACGGGAGCTGAGTGGGGCTGCAGGAGCAGAGTGGGCCTGCGGGATCCGAGAGGGGCCACGGGAGCTGAGTGGGTCCAGGGCTCAGCGGTTCAGGCTCTGACATGCTTCCTCTAGGAGGAGCTAGCAAGCCTCATCTCCGACCTAAAGCAGGAGCAGAAGAAAGTGGATGAGCACATCGCCAAACTGGTCAACAACAAGACCCGAATTGTCGTGAGTGAACCCTCCGCACCCTCGACCCCAAGACCAGGCACTTGACAGTCCTAGGGTCCACTTCCCGCTGACCCTTTACAAAAACCCACGCCTCCCAGAGGCAGCCAGGATTCCAGGCTTGCTGGGGTGGGTGTGGTGAGTGAAAATCCCAACGGAGAGAAGAGGACTCTGGATTGGGTCTAAACTGGCTTTTGTCCTCCCGCCCTTGGGACTGAGATAACCCAGAACTTGAGCCGCAGAGGTAAACAGCGGCCAGTGTGGCCCTGGCTCTGCCTGCACCCCACGCCGCTTGTCTGCTTGACCTTCAGGGGCTCAGAGTCGCTCACTGTGGTGTCCTTGCAGCACGCTGAGGCACAGGCCTGGACAGGCTGGGAGACCTCAGCTGGGTCCTGACGGCAGCTGTGGACCAGAGCAGGCCGACCTGTGTGTACTCGCCCTCACATGGTGTCTCATTCCCTCTCATACCTGAGAGGGGGTGACATTACCCCGGCTTGTGCAGGGAGGCCTGGGAGCCCCAGCTCATTTCCCCTATGAAGTTTGTGATAAGTCACAAAAACAGGTGAAAGCAGAGTCCTTCTGCATGATTTGCGAATGTGTCAAGGCTTTCCCACCTGCTACCTCTCCGAGGACTCCTTATAACATTGAGCTTGTAAAAGTCAGCTCACATGGCCTGCCTGGGATCCGGGTAGGACCAGCCACGCCAAGAAGCCAGGGAAGGCCACCCCAGCTGTGCAGCTCCCCTGATTCTGCCTGTGACGGCCCCCTCCCTGTGCAGAATGAGTCGGACGTGTTCAGCTGGGTGATCCGCCGTGAGTTCCAGGAGCTGCACCACCTGGTGGACGAGGAGAAAGCCCGCTGTCTAGAGGGGCTGGAGGGCCACACCCGTGGCCTCGTGGCCTCCCTGGACGTGCAGCTGGAGCAGGCCCAAGGGACGCGGGAGCGGATGGTCCAGGCTGAGCGTGTGCTGGAGCAGTTCAGTAATGAGAGCCACCATGAATTCATCCGGGTGAGTGGACGAGGGAGTGGTCCCCAGAGTCCCCCCGTTTCCCCCTTCCTACCCACACCTCTACCTTTCCAACCTCTCTTGTGTCTTACAGAAATACCACTCTCTGGCCTCCAGGTAACAATCTCCAAGGGAGAACGTCCCATCCATCTGGTCCCTCATAACCCACCAGGGATCCCCAAGTCCAGCTCTGCACTGAGCCTGGGAACACAGGGATGAAAGTTGTGTCCCCGCTTCAGGGTTCAAGCTCGGCCCCCTCTCTTACTTGGATGGGTGACTGGGACAAGCTGCACAGTATCCGTCAATCTTCAGGCAGTGTTGTGCAGCTAACCAAAAGGCTTCTCCTCTTCAGCAGTTCGAATCCACAAGAAGCTCAGCAGGAGAAAGATGGGCACCTCCTCTTGTTAAGCTGTAGGGGAATCGGTGAAGAAAGGGGTGCAGACGGACAGAAGTGATAGGCCATCAGACTGGGGAGCAGAGGCATGTGGACACGTGGCATAGAACAGTCTGGGGAATTCTAAGGAGTTCACCATTTCTGGGGGAGAAGAGCTCACCAAGGTTGGAGAGGGGAGTAGTAGCCCCAGTGAGCAGCCCAGAAACACGCATCTTATAAGAATACAAGAATACGCGATCCACTTTTCAGTCCCACCAAGCCCTCAATTCACACAGCTCTGCAGCCTTCTCAGACTGTTTATGAGCATCTTGCCTTCTGAGATTAGTTTTAGGCCTCGGGACGATTTGGTTAAGAAATACTGGTCTAAAGGAGCCAGTGGGAGCCCCAATTGGCTCAGTGTAGAGCAGGTGTGCACTCCAAAAGGCGTCAGGGTCCCCTGACATCCAGGACCACCATGAGGGCTTGTTAAAATTTCTGAGTCAGCAGCTCTGAAGTGAGACCCTAGAATTCCCTGGGAGGCTGCTGCTGGTGGCTGTGCACTTTGAGAAGCGCTCCCAGGAGGGGCGTCTGAAATAGACCCAAGTCCAGTCGGTTCTGGCTCATAGCGACCCCCTAGCTGGTTTCCCAGGCTGTAAATCTTAATGGGGGGAGATTGTTCATCCGTCTCCCACTGAGCCGCTGGTGGATTCGAACTGCTGGAGACGAGAGGCCTCTTGGTTCGCAGTGCCCCACCCCATGGACTACACCACCAGAGCCCCAGGGAGGAAGCAGTGGCTGAGGGACACCTTGAGCGCGCCCTGTTCCAAGCTCTGGGCATGGGGTTTGCATGGCTGGGGTGGGCCGCCAGGGGCCTCACTCTCCTATCAACGTTGCACCCAGAGCGGAGCTCCAGCAGGCCCGGCCCTTCGAAGGCGCGTTCAGCCCCATCTCCTTCAAGCCAGGCCTCCACCAGGCCGACATCAAGCTGACTGTGTGGAAAAGGCTCTTCCGGAAAGTTCTCCCAGGTGAGGCCCTGAGCCAGGTCCCTGAGGGTGGCCACCTGGCGGTGGGGGTGCAAGGCTTTTCACTGTATCAGTGTCTAGCTGGAGAGACTGGGAGGGAACGCGGGTGTGGGGGAGTGGTGAGATGAGGGGCTCCCCAACAGCCTGGGCTTGGACTCTGCTCCTTCTCCTCCTGGCTGAGGGACTGGCAACGTCATTGGAATCACTCAGAGTATAAAAACGCCACAGCGTCAGGCAATGTCAGAGCTCAGGAGGGAGGGCGAGCAGAATCATCAGGATTGGAATCCTCCCAAAGCTGCCTCCTGTGGGCTGGCAGCCAGACAAGGCCCCAGGCCTCAGCTGTTCCCAGTCCTGACATTAGCTACCCCTCTCCCAGCACACACTGCGTCTGCCTCACAGCTCACAGACTCCACACGCTGTGCGTGCCTGGAAGTAACAGGTTACAATTCAGGATCAGAACTGGCATGGAAGTATCAGGAGTAACTCAGGAGACAGCTCTTCAGTCAGGCAGGCTTCATGGAGGCAGGCAGGCCTCTCTCTCAGCCCCTGGCCCTCATCTCTTGTCTTGGTCCTTGGTCTCTACCCTGCTTGGGCACTTCGTGCAAAGCTCTTTAGCTATTCTGAGACGTGCCTGCAGGCATCCCACTCCGCCAAAAAGCCTGCTGCCCAGTGGCGTTCAGGCCTCTTGCCCCTGTGGATTGGCAGACCCACCACAATCCCCTCACTCTACTTGGCACAGGAACTCGTTCACCTCACACATCTCCAAGCATCAGAAAACCCCCAAGTATCACTCACGCTCCCAGATGGCAGCAGCCACGCCTCTCCCGGCTGACCTTAACAGTAATAAGGAGCCCCCACCTCAACTTCCAGAATTGTCGCCCTTTAAACGCAGCAGGAGGATAAACCCAGGCCTCCACAATGATTCCACACACCTGCCTTGCATTAGCAAAACTGCCCAATCTCCGTAGACTACCTGCTGTTTGCATTGTTGTTGTTGTGTGCCATCACATTGGAACTAACCCATAGCTGACCCTCCGCCAGGTTTTCAGAGGCGGTTAATTGCGTGGGAAGAGAATGCCCATCTTTCAGTGGAGCAGCTGACGGAGCCGCTGGCAGATTTGAACTGTGTGCCTTCGAGATTGCAGTGCAGCTTGTTGCCACTAAGCCACCAGAGCTCTATTTGCATAGTCCCACCCAGTCATCTCTTAGGAGCTGCAAGAGGCCTGCTAGAAGGGCCATACCATACACACCAGCCGTACACACCAGCGTAACCTACTCACTGCGCTGACGTTCCTCACTGTAGAGAGAGGCGATTCTGCTAGGGCTGCTTTTTTGAGTCTAGAACACGAATTTATGACGGGGTTCTAGCGTGACAACTCTGTGGTAACTCAGTTGTGACCCAAATCACAATGAATACCTCTTCTTTTTTTTAAAGAAAAGTTCATCATTATTGCCTTCATATATACCTGCAGGTAAATATATGAAAATTACATCAGCAAATTATGTGTTCCAACAGTGTATGTTGTAAAAAGTGGACAGTCATAAGCGTGGTTCACCAGAAGTTGGAGACTGCTTGTGTGCACGTGTTTATGCTCAGATATGTTGTTACGTGCTGTTGAGTCACCCTGTGCACAACAGGCTGTGAACCCTGTCCTATCCCGAGCCAATCTCACTCCCTCTGACACACCTACCCGCATTACCCCAGTCACTGTGCCAATCCATTTCTTTCAGGGTCTTCCTTTCTTGCACTGACCCTCTACCCTTCCAAGCACGACATCCCTCTCCAAAGACTGGCCCCTCCTGGCAGCATGTCCAAAGTTACGTGAGATAGAGCTTCAAAATCCTTGCTTCCAAGGAGTAACTTGGTTTCACTCTTGTTGTCTTGGCAGTCTGTAAAATGTTTTTCTGTGTACACACACACACACACACACACACACACACACACACACGCTCTTGTTAACAGCCTCTGAATCACAGTGACTCCACACCCAGTGGTTCTGTTGAACCACCACTGCCTCTATATATTGTGTTCATTGTTGTTGTTTTGTACCAGAGCTGGAACCGAGTCCTAGCTGACCAGAGGGGTTTTAGAGACAGTAAATCACACAAAAGGAGACCGTGTTGTACTTTCAGAGAAGCTGGTGGATTTGAACTGTCTGCCCTTATGTTAGCAACACAACTCCTTCCCACCTCATGGGCAGTTTAGGACTTAAAAAGGGACTGCCGTTGTTCTGACAAAATGAGGTAAAGACATTCAGTTTATTACTAGCGTACATACAGCTTGTATGTAAAGGAGCTCAGTCAGTAAATGGCTTTCACCGAACAGAGGTAAAAACAGCTTATAGAGAGCAAAACAGGAGAAGACCAGCTGCAGCCCGTGAACAGTGAATTCTGTTTGCGCTTTTGGAGTAAACGGATTAGCTGGCAGCTAGCAAGGAGTTCACGTGTGACTGTGCCCTTCAAATGGCCAACTGCAGTGGTTGGCGATCCTCCAGAAATCTTGTGGGACACACGTGACAGGCTGCTTCTGCACACTTCCATCAACACCTCCACCTCAGTCTTCACCAGAATCCCTCCCTTCACATATCATTCAGTCATTCTGTCAGTCAGTCACCCCATCTAAGGGCAGGGGGCTCAAAGATAGCTAGGCACCGGTTTCCTCCTTGAGGGGCTACCCATGAGCCCCAGGAGCAGTCTGCTGCCTCCCGTGTGGCTTCAGCACGGTCCTCCCCTCTCTCCCCTAGCCCCTGAGTCTCTCAAGCTGGACCCTGCCACGGCCCACCCCCTCCTCGAGCTCTCCAAAGGCAACACCGTGGTGCAGTGTGGGCTCCTGGCCCAGCGGCGGGCCAGCCAGCCCGAGGGCTTCGACTACAGCACCTGTGTCCTGGCCAGCCGGGGCTTCTCCTGCGGCCGCCACTACTGGGAGGTGGTCGTGGGCAGAAAGACCGACTGGCGCCTGGGAGTCATCAAGGGCACGACGAGCCGCAAGGGCAAGCTGAGCAAGTCCCCCGAGCATGGCGTGTGGCTCATCGGCCTGAAGGAGGGGCGCGTGTACGAGGCCTTCGGCTGCCCCCGGGTGTCGCTGCCCGTGGCCGGCCACCCTCACCGCATCGGGGTCTACCTGCACTACGAGCAAGGCGAGCTCACATTCTTCGACGCCGACCGCCCCGACGACCTGCGGCTGCTCTACACGTTCCAGGCTGACTTCCAGGGCAAGCTCTACCCCATCCTGGACACCTGCTGGCACGAACGGGGTGGCAACTCCCTGCCCATGGTCCTGCCCTCGTCCAGTGGGCCTGGCCACCTGCCCCTCCTACAGCCCACCAAACTGTAGGGCTGCCTGTCCTCTCCGTTGTTCACAGCCTCCCACAACTGGAAGTAGGGACTTGGGTGATTCCCCACCATTTCCAGCGGTAGGAAATTTCCTACCTGTTGGGGAAGGACTTCATGCCTCCTTTTTCTAGGACATTTTTAGGACCACAGTCCCCATCCACCAGACAAAAGCAGGTGTGTTTCGTAACCTCTGGCCAGCATTGGCAGAGCCAGGACTTGACGTCCAGGCCTGGAAAAGCGGGCCCTCCTTTAGTGCCTCTTAATAATGCTGTTTCTGGCTTACTCTTCCAGTCAAGTGCTGGAAAGTTCCCACCCATACTTGAACATTTTTAAGGATGCCAAAGTTGCTGTTACTCCAAATTTTAATTGCAGCACATATTTAGATGTTAAGTTCCCTAAGCAACTCCAGCTTCTGGTGACCAGATCTTGATTCTGTCCTCCGCCTGCCTAGTCTGTGGTCAGTTACACTGATCTTAGTCATTCATCTCATGTATTTGATGTCCCTGGACTATGTATGCCCAGGACCCGGGGCAGATGACAGAATGCTCTGTCCCCAGAGACCTCCTTGATTTCACCCTTAGTGAGATGAAGATGGACTTGGAAATGCCCCATTTCAGATCCTAATGAGTAGGGGCCCCTCGGGGTGTGCTGCCCGTTTCTGGGCACCCAGGAGTGGGGCCAGAGCTCATGTCTGCTTATGGTGATCCTGCTGCTGGCCACAGCTGATGGGGCAGGGGCCCACCACACACCAACACAGGACAAGTGAATTATCTCTAAAGAATATGGAAGGTGAAGGAGGGGGAATGGTTGAAGCTGGGTCACCTGAGGCAGGAGACGTTAACGAGCCTTTAGCCTCAGAATCATTCGCACGTGCACAGCTTTACACGGTTCCCTGGCACACACCCTTAGCTACGTGGGCAATGTCTCCTGTCTGAGGTTCTGCAGAACGTCTGGGGTCCTCCAGGGAGGTGCTGCTCAAGTCCATCTCTGCTCATCCCCTTAACCACTGGGAGGTCATCTTGAGATTTTCTGCCCTTGTCCCTCAGAACAGAGTGCAGACTATGGAACCACTTAGCTGCACGTAAAAGTAACTCCCAAGCAATGGATGTCCCGCAGGTCACGGTACGGCGATCCGCCTCTTTTAATATATGGCACGAGGACCACAGGGAGCTGCAACCTTTGACTATGCTTCCTCTCTCTGTATTTGTAAATAATAAACTGAAGGGAAGAATGCTTGGTACTGTAATTGTATCTTTAGAAAGTCATTCCATCGTTCTATGCTGTGAGCTACTTCAGGGTGACGGGGAACGTGGTTGCTGCTGTGTAACGTCGAGTCAGAACTGACCCATAGCTGACCCTCCAGTGGATTTTCAGAGGCAGTAAATCACACAGGAGGAGACTGCCAGTCTTTCTCCCGCAGAGAAGCTGGTGGATTTGGGAACCACGTGCCTTTGGGATTGTGGTGCAGCTTCTTCCAACGAGGCTAAGACCAGTTCCACATTTATGAGCCCGCTGGCATGCTGCTTTTGCGAGCCCTTTCCTGTGAAGCCCTGCTAGGTGGGATACCGCGAGGGTGGATGAGGCATTCTGTAAGTCCAGGGATGGCTGCTTCTGTTTCTCTGGAGCTGTTGACGGGGACCACAGCCACATCTACCTGCCACCAGAGATGATGCCCAGCTTCCTCAACCAACTAATCTAGTCAGGTCCAGACCAGATGGACTGTGACAGAATGAGAGAAAAATGTGGACCATGATTTCAAATTCCTAGACAGAACAGAACAGGCTTACTGAACTGACTGAACATTCAATAAGACGTCGTTGTTATGTGCCGTCAAGTCGCCGACTCACAGCAACCCTATGTACAACAGCCCTAAACTCTGCTCTGTCCTGTGCCAATCGCACTGTCTCTGACACTCCCATCCCAGTCACCGAATCAATCCACCTCATACAGGGCCTTCCCCTTCTGCGCTGTCCCTCCACCCCACCAAGCTGATGTCCCTCTCCAAGGACTGGTCTCTCCTTAGAACATGTCCAAAGTATGTTATATGGAGCCTCAGAATCTTGCCTCCAAGGAGCCACCCGGTTTAACCCTTTCCAGGACAAATCTGTTTGTTCTCCTAGCAGTCCATGGTATTCTCAATACTCTTCTCCAGCACCACAGCTCAAAGGCATCAATTTTCCTTCTATCCTCCTTGGTCATTGTCCAACTCTCTGATGCATAACAAGTGATTGCAAAGACCATGGCCTGTATCAGACGCACCTTAGTCTCCAGAGAGACACCACTGCTCTTCAGTACTCTGGAGAGGTCCCTAACAGCAGACTTTCCCATGCAGACAATACCCCCAAAAAATCTAGGTGAGAGGCTTCTGCACACAATATAGGCAAGATTTCATATCTGTTTATTGCTTAGCTGGTTCTCACAGGCCAGCTTTTCTTTGTCACAGCACACTCCTAGGGAGAATACTCACTCAGTTGACCCTGAAATAAGCCTAGATTAACAAGATGCCAACAGACTCAAAGGTTATCAAGTAAAAGAATATATAACAACTTGACACTCACTGAGGTCATGTCAGGGCTGACTCACAGCGGCCTCTCCACAGAGTTTTCAGGGGCAGTAAACACAGGAGGACACTGCTCATCTTTGGGCCTGGGGAGCAGCTGGTGGATTCAAACTGGCCCCTTTGGGTTGGCGCCCAACTCCTTACTGCTAAGCCACTGTTGTTGTTAGGTGCCAAGTCACAGCGACCCTAGAACAACAGACCTGCAGCCTTACCTACGCCGTCCTCATCCTGACACACACGGCTCGCTGCTGCGGTCACTGTCAGACCATCTCCCGCTCGTGAGGGTCTTCCCCCTTTGCCTTCCACCTTTCCCAGGCATGATGTCCCTGTGAGGCCAGAACCAAGGTCAAAGGGAAAACAAAGGATTCAAGGAGTATCAACATGTCAAGGAAAGGAGTGAAGAGCCTCGGCTACCACGGAGCGCCCCTCCATTCCTTCCCTAGAAGACCACCCACCCAGCTAAACCACAGTGGAATGTCCCTCCCTAAGGACCCTCACTATAAAACCCGCCCTAATCCACTTTAGGGTGCGGTATTTCCCTGGTCTGTCCCTCTGCCTGTCTCTCTGCAGACCAAGGAACGCCGCCCCGGGAGACCCCTTAATAAAATTGCTTTAGCTTCCTTTCTTTCTCTGATCCCTTCCTCGAGTCCTTGGCCTTACGTCCAGTGCGAAGACCTAACAGTCCCTCTCCATGGATTCGCCTCTCCTAGTAATATGCCCAAAGTATGTGAAACCAAGCTGGGTCACCCTTGCCTCCTTGGGGGACTCAGGCTATCGCTCTTCTCCAATTCCTATCTGTTTATATTCTTTTGTCAGTCCGTGGGATAGTCAGTGCTCTTCTCTAACACCACACCTGAAAGGAATAAATAGTAATTCTTTCCTCTTCCCCTTGTTGGGACTGGCACAGGAGGAGACTGCCCCGCCTTCTCCAGTGGAGCATCTGCTGGATTTGAACCGTGCACCTTCGGGATTACATCGCTGCTTCTTGCCACTTGTCATCTTTATTCACTGCTCGGTTCTCACTAAGCCTCTAGTCCTCACTAGTCACTAGTGACTGTTAAAGCGTAGATTTGAAAATGTCAACCGACTTGAATTTTTTCCAAGTTCCTGAATTTTCTGTACTTAAAGCTCTGTGAAACTACCCAAGAGCGACAGTGCTCTAGGCTCTCAATTTTTTTTTCTTCTTCATTTTGACAGGCATTTCAGTTACCGCTTTTACAAAACAAATATGAAAATCAGGGCAAGAGATAACGGGAAACTATCAACTAGAAACACGTGTTCGCGCATTCTCGCGTGAAACTCTTCTCTCGCGAGAACGCTCGTGCAGGGCTAAAGTAAACATGGACTAAATTGAGTAGAAGCTTCAGTGGCAACAGAAACTGCTGTGTTTAAACTTCGCCGAAAACACAATAAGATATATATATATTTTTTTTTTTAAAAAGTCAAAGCAGCAGTGAAATCCGAAAGAGATTCGAATCTCTTATGTTAGTGTCTTTCGAGAACGTGAGAGGTGCACGTGGGAGTCAAAGCTCCTAAAGGCTCGTGCCCTTTGACCCAGGAGGTCTGCCGGGCACGCTTTGCGACAGGGCCGTAAAGGTAGTCGGCGGAACATGGCGGTGTACACGGCCGCCGCGGCCGTGCTGGCGGGCGTGGAGAGCCGGCAGGGCTCCATCAAAGGGCTGGTGTATGGCAGCCGCTTCCAGGTAGCAGGGACGCCGTGCAGAGTGGGGCTGGGGCCCCGGGTCGGCGGTGGGGGGTCTGGATCATGTGCGGGCGGTGGAGGGAGGCCCACCCCGGGGTTGGCTGCTCCGGGCCGGGCTCAGCGGTCTGTTTTCGGCGCGCAGAACGTGAAGCAGCTGTACGCGTTGGTGTGCGAGACGCAGCGTTACTCGGCCGTGCTGGACGCCGTGATCGCCAGCGCCGGGCTCCTCCGCGCCGAGAAGAAGCTGCGGCCACACATGGCCAAGGTGAGGGGCGAGGCGGGGGCATCTCCTACATGCAGTAAATGGGTCCCAGCTCCCCGACGGCTTACCAAAATGAGTGTGAGCAGAAAGTGCAGACTTCGAATCTTGTTAAATAAGAACCGAAGTACCAAGCAATGGCATAGGCCCTTAGTTATCCTGCAAGGTGATGTTAACGAGGAGGGATGGGGACCAAAGATGTGCTAGGAGGCCCCTTTGGGTTGGGAGTCGGGTCATCAGGTTCCAGCCTTGGATCTTCGATACTCCAGCAGAAAACTAAGACTTAATGTTGCGGTTTCCCCTGTGTTTCTGCATCCCCAGGTGTTAGTGTACGAGTTACTGATGGGACAGGGCTTTCGAGGGGGCGGGGGCCGCTGGAAGGCTGTGCTTGCTCGGCACCAGGCGAGACTGAAGGCTGAGTTGGCCCGGCTCAAGGTTCAGAGGGGTGTGAGCCGCAACGAGGACCTGCTGGAACTGGGATCCAAGTCTGATCCAGGTGAGTTGGAAGCAGTGAGTTCTGGGTTGAGGGTAGTCTGGAGTCCTCAGAGGGGAGGGACCGTGCCCTGCCCACTCTAATGATTGCCTCCTAGCCACCCAGATCCCCCGGTATGTGCGTGTGAACACCCTCAAGACTTGCGCTGATGATGCAGTTGATTATTTCAAGAGACAAGGTTTCTCCTACCAGGGGCGAGCTTCCAGGTGAGAGCTTCGACCCCTACCTGGGCTGCCATTGTGAGGGAGGTGCTTGGGGGGACTGGGGAATGGTTCCACAGCTAAAGGGAGGTTGGGTGAATTTTCTTTTTCTATCATATTCTGTATCAGGGACTTGGCCTTCCTACCTAGGAGTCCAGTCCTACATTCTTTCCATGCCTACCTTAGCTCTTTCTTATAGCTCTTATGTCTCTAACATGATGGGTCCTGACTCCCCAGCTGAACTCCTCGTCTTCCCCCCTCAGGTTCATATGAATATTCCATTGAAACACTGGTACAACATTTGCCAAACTGAGTTCATTTTCCTTCTCAAACTGCATATGCATTCCTTATTCTAACCTAATGATTGTCACTCTTACCCACCCATCTTGCCTGGACCAGAGTCAGAGCCAAGCTAGATGCTTCTCCTCCAGACACTGGCTGAGCTGCTTTTAGCATCTTTTTCTCCATCAACTGCTTCCTTTTCATCTTGGATGTTGGCTCGCTTTAGGCCTGCATCATTTCCTGTTGAGATGGGAAAAGAATCCCCTAACCTCATCTTGCCAGTCCCAGACGCTTGCTTTTGTATCTTGTCTGAGGTTGACTGCAGAAAGGTCTGATGCTCTGCCTCCTCTCCCGCAACGCTTCTGATGCCTGCCTCCTGCTTCCTTTTAGCTCAGCTGATGGGGCAGTATGTGCACCTGGGCTTCTTGCAACAGCTGCTGTTTCCTGCACGGGATGCTCCTCCACTGGGCTTTCCTACTTCCAGGCCAACCCACCACTGTCAATACCCATAGTGATCCTACAGGATTGAGAGCTACTCCATAGGATTTCCCAAGCTGTAGTTTATTATTTGTAAATTTACAAAGCAAAGCGTGTTTCCTATCATGCCTGCTCATTTTGTTTGCAACATTCTTCTGTTCCTGCGTGTTATGTAACTTTATAGTAACCACAGTGGAATCCCCCTGTTCCCTATGATTCTAGTTTTCACCGTTTATTTTCTCCCACCCTCTTTGCAGCCTTGGAAGAGCTTCATCTTTGGGTTAGTGCAGCTCTTTTGACCTTACATGGTTGGTTATTCTAAGCGGTTACCTCCGTGGTATTAGAATAGGCTTCTCTTGTTGTTTGGCCGAAGATTGAGCCACAGAGGGAGTTTTGTTCCGGGTGTGAAGGATGAGGAGGGGCCACAGTTGGAGGGCTTCTTTCAGTCTCTATCAGACCAGTTAAATGTGACTACTTGTCAGTGTGTTTTGTTCCACATTGTCCCCCCCGCTTTGTCCAGGGCCTTTTCCTGTCACCCACAGCAGCGGCCGGGCAGCATCTAGTTTAGATCACAGAGGGTGACTGATGTGGTCCCTCAGTCCTCTGGACCAGTTATTTCTGTAGTTTTCCTTTCCTCTCTCTCCTTTGCTCTAGACAGGGAGGGACTAATAGTTGCACCTTTTGTGGCTGCTGCTTGCAAGCTTTTAAATGCTCAGCCTTGAGGCTGTAACCTCTGCAGGAGCCAGCTGCCACATCCGTTCTCTTTTGGGCTAATGGGTTCGGACCACCAGCTTTTTTATTAGCAGCCAAACACTTAACTGTGTTGACACCAGCCCTGGTTTTTCCCTCTTCCTGTTTTAATGTTCTTCCTGCCTCTCAGTACCTTCGTTTGACCCCGGGTGGTAGAGACTGACTTTGTTTGGATTGGAATTGTGTGTACAGCCTTGCGAGACTTCTACGCTGGTCAGGATGAGCAGTCCTCTCTTGCAGCTCCTCACGTCCCGAGTCAGCTCAGCTCGTCCCTCCTCCCGCGTCTTCTTCACGGAACTCTCCGCCCCCAGGTTAAGCTTTAATAACAACGCTGCAGTTGAGTGGTTGCGTCAACTAGGTTTCTAAATTTTGGCCTTCACAACTGTCTTTTTACATGAATTCAAACTAAGAGACTATTTAAGAGTGACTTAATCTTGTAGGTTAACCCGGCTAGGTTCCAGCTGCTAGTAAATGACTAGGGTGGGATACTGAAAGTAGTCTGTCTCAATTGAGAACCCAGTTTCTTTTTTCCTTCTGTATTTCTTCAAAGTTTTAAATACATGCTGCACGAATGAACAGTAATGTATCAAGTGTCCAGCGTGGAGGAATTCTTACTCCCTGGGCCTACTCTCTCTCCTCGCAGCCTCGAGGACTTGAGGACCCTCAAGGGGAAGCATTTCCTTCTGGATCCCTTGTTGCCAGAGCTGCTTGTGTTTCCTGCCCCAACAGATCTGCATGAACATCCCTTGTACCAAGCTGGTCACCTCATCCTCCAAGACAAGGTATGAATAGGGAGCAAAGGGAGGACGTGGGAGTGATGGCCTGGGCTCTGGACTCACCTGGCTGTTGTGTTCGACCTGGCCAGGCCAGCTGTCTCCCAGCCATGCTGCTGGCCCCACCACCAGGCTCTCACGTCATTGATGCATGTGCCGCCCCAGGCAACAAGACTAGTCACTTGGCTGCTCTTCTCAAAAACCAAGGGTGAGTGCTAAGGTGGCAGGGCAAGGAGAGGCTGGGTCTGAAGGGCTGCTTTGTGAGGAAGGATGTGCTTTTGGTTAAGAGGGATGGATGGTCTTCTAATATTTCCGTGTGGTTAATACTGTAGCCCCAAGCTATTAAGTCTTTAAGTTCACAGTGTGAGATTTCTTAACCTGTGGAGCAGTCCACTGGCTGGTCACTTCTGACTTGCACCCCTTAATTATGTTTGCATTTTCGGAATTACTGTGTGTGGTAGACCCCACTGAGGCAGATGTACGCAGAGTGCCCGTGAGTTAGCTCATCTCACGTGCGGACAGTTTCGTCTCCCTTAGCTTCCGCTCTGTCTCAGAGGCGTGTACATTCTCTCTCCCTTTTTCCCTGACCTCTTTCCTAGGAAGATCTTTGCCTTTGACTTGGATCCCAAGCGGCTGGCGTCTATGGCTACTCTCCTGGCCCGGGCTGGAGTCTCCTGCTGTGAGCTAGCAGAGAGAGACTTCCTGGCAGTCTCCCCGGCAGACCAGCGGTACAGGCAGGTCCAGTACATCCTGCTGGATCCTTCCTGCAGTGGCTCCGGTGAGCACGTAACTGAAGGCCCCAGAGCCTAGCGCCAAAGGGGTGGGAGTTTTGGTCTTAAGTGTAGCCCGACCTGACCCTTGAATGGTGGCCGAGGGCAAACTCTGTCATCTGAAAGGTGCATTTGGCCGGTAATACGCAGCCTGTTGAAGCTCTAAATCCGCTCCTCTCCGTAGGTATGCCAACCCGACAGCTGGAAGATCCCGGGGCAGATGCACCCTGCAAGGAGCGCTTGCAGGCCCTGGCGGGGTTCCAGCAGCGAGCCCTGAGCCACGCCCTCACTTTCCCGTCCTTGCAGCGCCTTGTCTACTCCACATGTTCTCTTTGCCGAGAAGAGAATGAAGACGTGGTGCAAGCGGCTCTGCACAGCAGCTCGGGGACCTTCAGGTAGCAGCCAGTGTCACATGGGGGTGGGGAGGTGGGGAGGGGAGCAGCTGCTCTTACCCAGGAGCCTCTTCTTCCCCCCAGGCTAGCGCCTGTCCTGCCTTCCTGGCCCCACCGGGGCCTTAGCACCTTCCCAGGTGCTGAACACTGCCTCCGGGCCTCCCCTGAGACCACTCTAACTGGGGGCTTCTTCATTGCTGTCTTTGAACGTCAAGAGGTGTCAAGGTGAGTGAGTGGGGGGGTCCTACTAGGCAGAGTAGATGGAGATCCAGACGGGGCACACCTAACATCTGCACTTGTCTTCTAGCTCAGCCTCCCAGACTGCAAAAGTGGTGCCACAACTTGCCCCCCACTCAGCACCAAAGAGAAAGAAGAAGCGGCAAAAACCAGGGGCTGGTACCAGCGCCAGACCCTGCACCTAGCAGGAGCTCGGAGGCCCTCGACCCAGGAGGGCTGTGTTACTAAGTTACTTGCACTGCTTTCGGAAACAGTCATGAGAGACATGTTGGTCCAGCTGGGTCTCTCTAGTCCTTCGAGTCCCTTCCCTGGTTTCTGCTGGTCAGAGTACTGCTCACAAAAATAAAAAGAACATGGTCCAGGACAGAATACATGTTTTGTTGATTTTTATTCTTAATGATATATAAGCAAGGAGAAAATTGCACATTCATACTAAAAATTCCAACTAGACTCAACAGTGAAGTCTTGGCTTGTCATGGAAAGTCCCAGCCTCCCGTTCTGTCCAGTGCACGTCCATGGACACATGCACACTCACACACCCACACCACGCCAGGGTGCCCTCTCCACGGAGCTCCTGGACCAGCGGGCCTGCCTGTGGAACTGAGGTAAGATGAGCTCCGAGAGGCTGTACCTTACACAAGGTACCCCACCCCCACCCCCCAATCCTAGTAGGGGCTTGAGGGTCAGGCCCCCTCAGCTCCACACACACAGAGACATACTGGACTTGAGTAAAGGAGCAGTCTCCTGCCACAACACATTCAACCTCACTCACGATGGGGGAAACTAGTTACAGCTACGTCACATTATTTTGTAGAATGTCTCGAAGGAGCTCGAGTCCCTTTGAAAGCTGCCCGGGACCACACCTGAGCCTCCTCACACAGGCATAACTTCACCACACAGCTAACTCCTAGTTGAGAGCTTTCACACTTAACCACCTCAATGAACCAAGCTTGAAGGAATTTAAAAGGCAATTTAGCTTAAATACAAAAATAAATTTATTTTGTTAAAAAAATGTTTAAATACTTTTTTAATTTAGACACACGCATTCATACTTCTCCCAAAGATGATGGACATGGCAGCAGGCTCTTTGGGCCCAGAGGATGTGGTTTTGGAACTAAGGAACAGGGTTGGAGAGTTTGGGAAAAATAAGGTAAAACTTTAAAGTCTAGTTTGTTCATGGAGGCTTCCTATAGTCGAGGTGACCTAGCCTCCAAGGCCAGGCAGATGGGAAGGGAATAGCGGGAAGAGGCCTTCCCTGGGCCCTGTCCTCATGGGGCTGCCAGCCCGTAAAGTCAGAACACCATTTGAAAATTCAGGGGCCAGCACGAGTAGCCTCAAGGGGTGCTACTTCTCACATTCAATTAGCGAGGCCCCAGAAAGCTAGAAACAGTTAATGTCCGGCACTACCAACATGCCGCCACTCACACAATTCAGTTCTTCCTCCAAACTCGATTCAAAGAGTTCACAGACACAAGCATCAGAGTAACACAGGACAAAGCTTAAACATACAATCCTAGGGCAGACAAAGGCCTGCTGAGGCAAACGGGCGAGGGGAGGAGGCTGCTCAAAGCAGTGGGCGTCCTGCCTGCACTACAGCTTGAGAAGAACCCATCCAAGGGCGTCCCTCTCTCGGAGGGAGGGGTCTGCCAGGCTAACAGTCTTGAGCCACTAAGCTTTTAGAGGCCTAACTGGCAGAGGATTCAGTATGAGACTCAGCAGGAGGAAGTGGCAGAGCAGGATAGCACCCACGGGGTCCTCCAAGGCAAAGCTAGGGGTCAAGATCTTTTCCCAGGGAGAGATCCTACAAGGAACCAGAGGGGGGAAGCAGCAAGAAATGGGGAAACGAAGCCCCGCGGAGGGACCAGAGGGAGAATCACTTCTAGCCAAGCCAAGCAAGGGAAAGCTTCAGGAAGTGTCCACTTCCCTGGTCCCATCAGGGCATCCCCGAGGGATGCATGTGGGAGAGGGGGTACCTTCTACCCTCCAGCAAGAACTGGCTCCTCAGGAAACGGGCGAGGGAGGCTGCTGAGCGAGCTTAGACACTAAATGAGTCAGGGACGTAGTGGACAATTATGTACAGATGTTTCTTTAGTTCTCCAGCCTCACCGGCGGAACTGTTCAAGTAGAGGTGTTGGCATCTGCCCTGCTTCCCCTCCTTCAGGGATGGAAAGGGCCCCCTGGCTAACACCAGAAATGGGGGGTAGGTTTACTTGAGAACTAGAAGGGGCAGAAGCTTGTCCCAGCAGGTGCCGAAGTCCGGGTTTGGGTGGGAGCGGGGGGTGTGGGGTGTCAAGGGCCAAGGCTACTTCTTTCGGTTGTGCTGCCTTCGGGCTTGCAGGCGCTGTCGAGCCCCTGAGGTCTTGGAACCCGCACCAATGGAAAAGGAAGGTGCTGCCGATCCTGGAAAGATGCAACAAGATCTCATCAGGGCTGCCGCCCCCTGAGCACTTGGTTGTGCAGGACACCCAACTGCCCATTTGCTATGCTTGGCAGCCTGATCATCACCCAGCCAACCAGGAACACGCTACCCCAATCAATCCCTCAGGAGAAAAAGTAGGTCACCGGCCCCCAAGAGACCTGCTGCTTACCAAAAGGCCCGACTCCGACAAAGCCCGCGGCTGGAGTGGAGGACGTCCCAAAGGAGAGGCTGTTGCTTGATGTGCCCACTCCAGGGGCAGGTGCGTTCTGGCCAAAGGTAGGCGTGGAGGTGCCTGGAACGACAGCAGAGGACAGTAGAATGTAGCCCAGTATGAAAGCAGGTAGCAGTGAATCTTAGTTCAGAGGCCCTGCACTCGTGTTCACCCCACCATGAGGAGAGGAGGTGCAGGAGAGGAGCAAGCCCGGTGGTGGGAAGCAGCTGTTGCCCGAAGGGGCTCATGTGAAAAGCTTCTAAGTTTCTTCTCTCTGATCACCACCAGCCCCTCATCCCGAGGCTCGAGACACCCACAGAACTAGCACGGCCCTGTGGGTCCTGTTATCTTCCGCGGGGCCCTTGGAACTCAGTCACTTGCAAGCTCTGCCCTTACCTAGTAATGGATGCTCACTGTGTCCTGACATTCCTTTTCCTCCAGCCCACGGAGGGGCTACCTTCCTTGCTCTGTGATGTGGCTTCCAAGCCATTTCTCTTCCCTACCCCTCTACACACTTCCGCTCCTTTGTAGTCCAGCCCATATACGTTACTATACTTTTTTTTTGTCAATGCCATCAACCTTGACATCCACTTAACTCTGTCCATGAACTACTAAGACTCTTGCCGCCCTCTCATGGCCGATCTATCACACCACCAGCAGTGAATGCTGTGCGTCCCTGCCCTTCCCGATACTCCAAGCCTTTCTGCCTTCTGAGCAGGCGTCCTCTCACGATACTCCCAAGCCTCCTCGGTCCCAAGTAGGTCCCAGTGATTCTTCACCCAAATGTGGACTAGCTCCTCCACAGCCATTAATAATCTCTTTACTCCTCGACACCATTTATACATTAAATGTGTTTGCCCACTAACATACACCCCCCCCCAAGAGTACAGACTGCTAACACGGCACCAACAGTGCCTGACATCACAGACCAAATCAACTTCCACGCTCACCTCCAAACACAGGTTTGCTCTCAGGTGCACTGGCCACATTGAAGGCGAAGGGCGTGCTGCTCTGGCTTGGTGTGCCTAGGGTGCTCTGACTCAAGCCTCCCCCAAAAGGGGTGGTGGTGCTGGTGGTCCCACTCTGTCCTGCTCCAAAGCTGAATCCTCCGGGGGTGGCACTGGTGCCCGGGTTAGCCACACCGATCCCAAAACCCCCACTGGCGGCTGGTGCTGCTGAGCCCCCAAATGTGAAGGGCGATGGTGTTGAGCCGCCAAACACTGAGCTGCTGGCCCCACTGCTGGTTGGCTGGGTGGTAGCCCCAAAGCCAGAGGTGGTGGCTGCACCAAAAGAGAAGATAGCGGTGGTGCTGCCGAAGGCTGGCTGGGTGCTGGCAGGAGTGCCAAAGGTGGAGGCTGGGGGTTTCAAACCACCAAAGGCCGCTTGTGTGGTACTGCCGAAGGCAGGTTGAGCAGGGGTTGGGGCTGGAGTCACGGTTGGGGCTGAAGCTGCGGTGTTTCCGAAGGTGAAAGAGTTGCCGAAGCTTGGGGCCAGGGCTGGCTTGGTGGCCCCTGGCTGCTGCCCATCAGTGGCACCAAATATGGGCTGGGGGTTGGCTCCTGGGTATGATGGGAGAGGAGGCTTGGTGCTTGAACCAAACGGAATGTTGAATGCTGGGGTGGTGGTGCTACTGAAGGTCAGAGTTGGCTGGCTGGTGGTAACTGGTGCTGAGGTGGTGAGGGTGCTGCCAAACCCACCAAAGCCAGCAGCGGTGCTGCCAGGGGCCGTCGCGGCACCATTGGAGAGGGACTGGCTCAAGGTGGTGGCTGTTGTTGAAGCAGGTATGGCAGGAGGCTTGCCAAATTGGAATATGGAGGGCATGGCTGGGGTAAAGCCAGCACCAGAGGTAGGGGGGGCCCCAAAGAGGAAAGGCTGGGAAGTAGAAGTGGAAGCGGATGTGGAAGCAGAAGCGGAAGTGGTGTTAGTCAGGTTGCTCGTGGTGGTCGCCACACTGTTTACAACAAAGTTGAAAGCAGGCTTTGAAGCCGAGTCTGCGGAGGTGCTGGCTGTGGTGACGGGGGCTGTGACGGAGGTGGTGCTGGAGAGGCCAGTGAAGAGGGGAGCAGCTGTGGTAGTGGCTGGAGTAGCTGTTGGCTTAAAGGAGAAATGAGTTGACAAGGGCAAAGATGTTGGTGGTTCCATGTTGCTAAAGATGGGCTTGAAAGTGAGGGTTGGGGTGCTAGGAACTGCCGTGGGGGCAGAGCTGGGAGCTGTGGTAGTTGTGGCTGGAGGAGTCTCACTTTTAGGTGTGGCCTCAAAAATGGGCTTAAACATGGGTGGTGTTGAGGATACAGCAGGAGCTGCAGGAGGGTTAGAAGTTGGGGTGCTCAACATTCCAAAAAGAATACTAGGTTTGGGGATTGGGGATGGGGCTTGGGATTTGGCAGAAGTCTCAGCTTGGAGGACTGGAGGTGACTTGATGGTGGACTCAGAGGTCAGGCCTGAGAAAGTGGCTGTGGGTTTTGAGTCCGCAGAGGTCCCTGACTGTGAAGTCTCAATGGGGGCCAGAAGACTGGGTGTCTTCAGAGACAAAGAGGCCGCAGTGGTAGCTACTCCAGTAGATTCTGGGGGGATAAAAGAGAGAAAATTTATTGAGAATATGAATTCTGAGAACTTGAGAGACATATGATGGTTATCTGAGGTCTCTGTAGCCTCCCCCATGCCTGGCACAGTGTGGAGGATCCAAGGGGTCAGTCAACAAATACAACGAAGAAACAAAGCAAATCAGGCAAGTTTTTGTTATTCACTCTTCATAGATCATATGAAAACAGAGGAGCTTAAAAGGTGATGCTGTAAACGTGATAAACGACATGATCAACTATGAAATGGTTATGAAGCAGAATATGTATGATTGAGAATGGTAACCAATTTTAAAAAGGTGACCTAGTCACATATTAAATCCCTTGGTGGCACAGTGCATTATATGCCGAGACGCTAACTGAAAAATTGGTGGTCCAAACCCACCAGCTTCTCTGTGAGATAACGATAAGGCGCACTGCTCCTGTTAAGACTTAGAGGCTCAGAAATGCAGTGAAGGGTCAACATGAGTCAATCCAGTGGATTAATCAGGAGTTCAACATATGGAAAGAAAAGAACAATTACTTGAACTTTTTCTGTTATCTAACAAAATAACATCTTACTTATCTAACATGTTCACTACCATGAGTTAAGTGCAGCACAGAACCAAGAATGACAGTGTCTGCCTCAGAGACAACGAGGCCGTATCATACACTGCTAGGATATCAAGTGGAACAGAGAATAGACTCTCAGCACTGCACAAGGACAGGAATCAGTATTGTGGCTAATAGGCCTGTAACAAGACATCTTAGCACTGCATTTACATTTAGGAGAAACATCAAGGGGAACACATTACTCTCCCATCAGCAAAGAGAGCCTTACATTAGGATACAGGCTCAAGGCAGCCAAGGGGCAGGTTTTACCTAAGAAGCCATTCACCACCACCAAAGCTAAGCTGCCTTGCTAAGTATCAGTTAACCTTCCCCTAAAATTTCCTGATTCAAGAATTTTGGTATTTTTCAGCTACGTCTGGCAAACAGGGCAGGTTCAACCTTTAGAACGATTTCTAGTAGCTCATAAGCACAAGGCTTTAACTTCAGCCTAGACAGAAGTCAAGAGCACCATCCACTTCAGGGAAGCTTTCCCGCTCACCTGGGAAGGCAGGTGGGCCTGGGGAATTCTGCGTCTTCTTCAAGCTCTCCAGCAGTGGGGTAGGGCTTGGGGTTGGGAGGGATGGTGGCGAGGAA